GCAGTATTTTCATCAAAAGTATCGCCATCAGGGCTATACTGCTTTGTCAGATGATAACATAACCTAAAAATTGTCAAATGTTTTTTATTGTTTCCGAAGGTTCGCCATCTTCCGAAGTTTCGACGTCTTCTACCGCATTAATTGCTGTGATAGAATGATGCGGATTTAGCTCTTGGCCGGAACAGGACGTTGAAGGAATACAATGAGTATTCGTTCAACGATGTTTTGCCAACAACACAGAAGAACAACCTTTAACAGCTCTTACAGTGGCCAACTTTGTTTTTCTATAAAAATTTCCACTTTTTTTTTACTTTTAACCACTGCTCTAAAAAATTTGTTATGCATGGCGGCGACCTGTTGACAAGAGTTATTTTGTTCGCGATTATCAAGACAAAAAGGTTTTAAGAAAGAAATAATAGCAACAAAATGGTTTAAACTCATGCAAATTTGCAAATTGGAAAGCAAATTAGTTATATTAAAGACGTATTGCTGCTCTACTAGGAACAATCATAAAACCTTTTTACTGTTTGGTTCTGTAACATTCTTACATAAGGGAAAAGTAGTCCTAAGAACAAATGCTCCTATGAGTCGGCTTTAACAGATGCATTAAAGCCAACTTTCCGAGCACCATTAAAACCAATAGGCATTTGATAAACCTTCATAAAACTTATTGGACTATAGGAGTTTCTTAGGGCCAAGTTGCCCTAAAAAAGCATTATTGGTTAACAGTAATAAATCAATGTTAAGATCAAATGGTTATAATTGCAAAAAGGTTTTAATACTTTACTTTAAAGTCGCTCATAAAGCCTAATCATAAAGCTTCATTATCTCAAGACCAACTAGCACAAAGTAAAGCCTTATCGGTGGCAACCCTTTGCTACTTGGGCCTTTTGTTACTCTATTTTTATTTATATGTCGCTCTATACGAATATTTAATTTAAATCATTTTTAGAAAAAATATAGTATGCAACTCGTTTATAAACTTTTCTAGACACTCATTTAATTAAGCAATCGCTCGTAAGCTCGCTAGTGTCTAAAATAAATTCGTGACTAAACATAAAATACTATTGTGTTTACACAAATAACACAATAACATCCAATTTTACTCAAACAATAATTTTTAAAAGTGATTAACATTGCAAAATGTTCGATATATATATATATATATATATAATTACATTTTACCTTATAGCCTCCCGAAAATTACCTTTCAAAAACGTTTACTTCGGGCCGTAAAATCTTGAAAACAAATACACATGAGTTTTTCTCAAATACAAATAAGTAAAATATTATTGAACCTAAAAAAATCGTTATCAATAAACTGTATTTATACAGTTTATTGATAACGATTTTTATAAATTGTATTATTTTGATTAAAATAATTATTAACATTGTAAAATTATGCATATATGCATAATTTTTTAAACATAAATTATTACAATCAAAAAAGGTTTTTATTTAACACTGTATCAAAATAGTGTCCATTAAAAAAACTGTTTTAAATACTCGCAGTAAATAATGTTTTTTAAAACACTGATTTTATATTTATCACTTATTTTTATACAAAATTCAAAATGTGAAAATCCATCTATTCATGGAACTATAGTAATTTAAAACTCCATTGTAGAACTGTTAAATGAATTTTATTCTAGGACGAAATCGCCAAGTATTATGGATACCAAACTCAAAATATTACAGTGAAAACTGAAGATAGCTTTAATCTTATAGTTATAAGAGTAATGTGCAAAGACAAATGCACAAAATCAAGTTCTAATAAACAACCCATGGTTTTTTGGCCTGGACTTCTGCTGAATGCGAGATTTTATGTTGTAAATGGAAAAGACTCAATGGGTAGGTAGTAAAAAGTTAAGAATTTTTATAATTTTACAATTTTTAAGCTTTTCACTATGTGGATAAGGGATATGATGTTTATTTAGCCAATTATAGAGGATCCAAATATTCAAATAATACCAACTTAATCTATACAGATGCTAAATACTGGGACTTTGGGTAAGTTCCTTTTGTGTTTGTGAGAGATCGTTTTTACATTGCTTTTTATTTATTTTAGTTTTGGTGTATTGGCCAAAAACGACATAAGACAAGTTACGAAAACTATTTTTGGACTGACAAATAAAAAATTAATTAGTTTGGGTCATTCTAGCACTACAAATGCATTGGTTGCCTATGCTACGTTATTTCCACAAGAAGTAGCTGAAAATCATAAAGGCTTTATTTTATATGGCGTTACAGTGAATATATACAAAACCATTAACTTTACGATTTCCGTACGTTTTATTATGTTAATGATTTTTTTTAAGGAGGTTTGTTTTAGAATGTTACTCATTTCCTTGGTTTACGTTTTTTGGATACATCGTTTAGTAAATATTGCCAATACGAGAACTATTTTTCTACTTGCGAAACCACCATTAAGTACTATTTAGGTGAAAATAACCATATAGATGAAAAAGTGAAAAAAATAGTTCTATAAAAACAAAATATTAATATTGTTTTTGAAGGTTTCCTATCCACGTTTTTATGGCGAAGGCACCGAGCCTTTACCAACAAGTATATTAGTGAATTTGTATCAAATAATTCAGAATAAAGGAGTGTTTCAAGATTTGGATTATGGGACACTTGGAAACCTAAAACATTATAATAAAATAAATGCACCAATTTTTTATTTAAAGGCTATTAAAGATATAAGAATTGATATTTTATGCACAAACGATGATGAGTTTACTTGTACTGTATGTAACTTTATACGAATTTAAATTTTTTTAAATCTGATATCTTCTGTTTTTAGGATGCAAAAACTACATACAATAATTTATCTGTAAAAAAAAACCTTCACATATTTACCAAATAATGCAAAATGTAAGGGTAATTTAATTCATTTTAACTATTTTATGTGTGACGACATGTACAATTGCATAACTAAACCTATGGACGAAATATTAAAGAAATATTATTAAGAATATTATTTTATTTTTAAATGTTAAAAAAGTCGAGGTTTAAAATTATTGATATATTTTATCCAATTTTTTATTTAAGTTTAAAAGATTATCCAAGAAAAATAAAATTTACTACACTGTTATTGTTTTTCGTCAAAATAGTGTTGTTATAAAAAAGCAATTTTCCTTACTTTAAATTTAAAACCTCAAAAAAGTCACAAAAGAATAAACATACCTATAAAAAAATAATTATATAAAAATTTTGTATTACAATAATAATAATTATTTATGTTGTTCTATTTTTTTTTAACAAAATTACAAAATATCATATATTCATTATATTTTACAATTTAAAAAATGGCACGAGCCCTAACCACTATATATTTGTCATTTTTATAATTTTATTTCCAATATTTATCAGGAAACTGCCTGTTCAAAAAAGAAAAGGTGTTTTTGATGTTTATAGTCATATCTAAATACCAGGCTAAAAATATTGTTTCGATATTTGCTTTTATAAGGAGTCGAATTATTTTTGGCTTTGAACTAACAGAAATTTGACAGTCCGCTGGAGTAATTGAATCCCAGACATTTTGAATTTTAAGCCGTAATCCTTCTTTTGTACGTTGGGGATTGTTTTTCAACCTTAGTTTCATCTTGTAACACACACTGTTTAAAATATCTGTGGTGTAAAAAGTAATCTTAAAATGGTGTCAAAATCCAACACCAAGTGGTGTTAATATAACACCATGAATTATGGTTGAAAATGTGTACCGATCACGGCAAAGGCGGTGTGGATCACGTGATGTTCTTAAATCTCGCCTCTGTTGACTTACATAAAGAATATATAAACTCAGGTAGTCCTTTGCTTTGGTGTGACACTACAAGTTGTTCGATACTAAAGAGGTGGAAAAAGCTGTAAATAGGTGGAAAAAGCTGTTAATACTTGAAGTATTTTAAGTTAGTGGAACGCACTAAAAACATTATCTCTAGCGAGTTAAAGGTTTAATTTTCTGGCATAATACCACTCGTAATATACTAGTAATGCGTCAAGAAACTCTCTGTTTCCTTTTTCTGTGTAGTATGATTTAATTTGACCACAAACATAATATTAAACACTGAAAAGGAGTTCAATTTACACCAGGTAAAATTTATTTTAATACTTCACACAGTTAAATTAACACCATTTTAGTATTTGAATTTACACCGGACCAACGAACCATATTTAACACCATTTTGGTTTGTATCGATATAGACCATGTATGGTGTTAATTTGGTGTTAAAATGGTCATGAAATTTTGAACAGTGCAGGCTTTCAATTACGTTAGTAAGTTCGGACTGCTGCTGGGCCACGAGACTGGTTTTTAGTAGGAGTATGGCACGATACGCCAAAATAAAATCTCTTTTCCAAAAAACTTTTTATTCTTGGAATCAAGTTATTTAAAATAATTTTTTGATACTTAGGTGCATTTATGGTGCCCTACTCAGACTGCATATCACCGAAGCCATTAGTCTACATGCATCCCCAAAACATTATTCTGAAAGCAAATATTCCATACGGTTTAAACAGTCTTTATAAAACTCTTCGTTTCTACTCGCCAACACACACATTAAATTTAGATTAATTACTGAAGATAACTTTAGTTTACTGCTACTCTATCCAGTTTCTTCTTTCCTAGCACCAGACAATCTATTGTTTTTGAGCGAGCAATGGTTTTTGTTTAGCCTGCAATTATTTTTGATCGATATTTTGAAATTTTTAAACTTAATATGCTTTTAAATTACCTAGTAAAAACTGGGACCACTTTTGTGGATCCACTTTCTGTAGGTTTTACGTCCTAAAAAAATAAAGTAAAGTTGGAACCCTTCACACAAAATATGCTTTTTGACAAATTAGATTTAGTTTTGCAACGCGATGGTTCACTTCTGTATAAAATTATTTTTATAAAAAGATTGATTAGTTTAATACAATAAAACAAATCAAAATCAAAATCAAAAACACTTAACTCAATGCAAAACAAATTATATTTTATTAAAAAACATAAAATAAATAGTTTATAAGTATCAAGTTTAATGAACGCCATTTTAGTCACGAATTTTAATTAGGCACGAGCAAGCTTGCGAGCAAGTGTTTAATTAAATGAGAGTCTAGACAAGTTTATGAACGAGTTGCATACTATACTTTTTCTACGACAAATACTTATTATTATCTAAAAATTATTTAAATTAAATATTTGTATAGAGGGACATTTATAAAATAATAGAGTAACCACTTCAAGATAACTTGGGAATCTGTATTACCGGCGCACCGGTGAAAATGTCAAATTTTTAATGTGTCAAAATTTTTATTGTGTAAAACGAAATGTATTTTTTGAAAATGGACTAACCACCCATTAAATCCCATATAGAAGAAGTTTTTTATGGTGAAAGTGAAGATAATGTTTTATTTTCTTTAATTTAATTTTTATTGGTTAATCAGTTAAATCTTTACATGAAAGGCACTTTATTTTAACGATTGTATGACATTTGGCAACTGTTAACTAACTTCAGCCCGTAACTAAAAACCTGTTGGTAAGTTACCAATGGTAACTTCAGTCAGTGACAAAAGTAGAAAAAAAACTACGAAAAATGCCGCACCAACGCTAAAATTAAAACAATATAATAAAAAAAGTAAAGTGAAAAGTAACAAACAAAAAACAATATTCAAATTAATTTTAAAATTGAATTAATGTCCTATTTTTGTTTTTCGTGGTAACCATAACAAGATAAGTTCGTGTTTTAAATAGTCGACTATTTGATCAAATTTAAAAAAAAATTGTGAGCAAAAAATGATTATTAAAACTACGACTATATATTTGTTTTTACTTTTAATAAACAATTCTCTAGGTGAAGACTTTGATGTCCATGGCTCTATAGTAAGTAAAGTATAAACAGTGTACAATCGTTAAATATATTTTGTTCTATAGGATGAAATTGCTGACTATTATGGATACCAAACGCAAAATTTTACAGTACAAACTGATGATGGATTCAATCTTATAATATTTAGAATAATGTGCAAAGACAATTGCACAACATCTAGTACACCTAAACAACCATTGGTTATCTGGCATGGTTTTTTGTTAAATGCCAGATTTTATGTACTAAATGGAAAAAATTCAATTGGTAGGTAGTAACAAAAAGTTGATTATTTATTCTTTAATTTTGTTATTATTAAAGCTTTTCACTATGTTGATAAGGGTTACGATGTCTATTTAGCCAATACTAGAGGAACTATATATTCAAATCACATTAGTTTAAGTCCCACAAGTGCAAAATATTGGGACTTTGGGTAAGTTAAGGATATTGTAAAAGAAACTAATGAACATTTTTTAAGCTTAATATAATAAAGGGTGATTCATTTAAACCTTTTTTTTTATTCTAAATTAAACGCATAAAATGGAATTGGATGGTGAAATCTTTATTATGACCTGATAGAACAATCTTTGACATTTATTTTTTGAAAATAATTTTATTTAAATGCTGGCCGCGACTACGCCTTAAGTCGGGTCTACAATTGTCGCAGAACGCAGATCGCAGAACGTAAGCATGCGCAAAGCACCCATCCACGTTGCGATGGAGCAAGGTCACACGTCGTTGTTATGTGAGCTGTCTACAATTGTCGCGCGATGTGCTTTTATTGACCAATCAGAGCAATTTTTTCTTTATAACCACAGTGTGGCCAACGTAGAAGTGTTTCCCCTAAATTTAGTGAAAAAAACAGAGATATGGATGGATCCCTATCTCTAAAAAACTGCTTGGGGTTTATTTTTAGGTAAAAAATGTTTAAGAGTTTAGATATAATTATATTTGTATATTATATATTATATATTATATAATATATATTATTATTATATATATTGGAAAAATATATATACATATATGGGAAAAATTGTTTAGATTATCATAGAATTAGTTAATATTATTTAAAATTTTAAATAATTATTTTGATCAAAATTTGAAAATTCTAAATGATTTTCGATATTTCCTAAAAACTACCTATTTAAATCAATATAGGTATGAATATTCAATAGTAATAAGAATATACATACCTACATTTATTTAAATGGTCTTTAGAAAATATTGAAAATTATTTTAAATTTGGACAATTACGTTTTTCGAATAATTTCTGAGAATTACACCAAAAATTTAAAAATAACCGCGAAATAGGAAAAGGAACTAAATAAAGTATTGATTATTGAAAGAAAGAGAGCACAGAGACAGATAGATTCTAGCGCTCTATGATTGGCTAACATAAAAGCCTGCGAAAGACGTTATTGAAGATGAATTAACTTTCTGCGACGTGTGACCTTGCTCCATCGCAACGTCGCTGGGTGCTTTGCGCATGCTTACGTTCTGCGATCTGCGTTCTGCGACAATTGTAGACCTGGCTTTACGTGGTCTATTCGGAAGGTCCATCTTTCGATCACTCTTTCTAGCATTGCGACCGGTATCTGCCCAATTACGCGAGTAATGTTGGCTTCTAAGTCCTGAATCGTAGCTTGCTTATCGACGAAGACTTTTGATTTAACATGACCCCAGAAAAAAGTCCAAGGGTGTGATATCACACGATCTAAAGTCAAGTCAAATCCAAGACGGACTAAAACAAAAAACGCCAGACGCGTGATCAGTCGTTTGCAGGTGGATAGAACGGTTCTTATTGGGCGATTCTGAGTTGTGAAGCGTGCCGAAAATTCTTGCCAGGGCCGCATTGGTTATTTGGTTTTTATTGTTATTATTATTATTCAATTAAGTGCGATGTCTAGCACAGACGAAGCTGAACATTTTGAGGACTTAAGCCCTGTTAAAAAACGGTCTAAAAGAAATCACTTAAGTGTGGAAATAAAAGAGGTTATTATAAATGTTTTCATTAAACTTTAATTATTAAAGTTTAATTTAAAATAATTTTCAAAAATTTCGCGAAGTTAATTTAAAAAATATAATTTTCGTAAAAAATTTAAAAAGTTTACATTAAAGTTTAAAAAAATAAATTTAAAATAATAATGAAATTATTTCCCAAAATTTTGTTAATTTCGTAATTTAAAAAATATAAATTTTATAAATATTTTAAAACCTTTCCATCAAAGTTTAAAAAAATAAATTTAAAATATTAAATGATCAATAATATTGATTCAATATATTTTAATACGGCCCAGTGCAACAATTTTCGTCGATCACGTGAATAGAGCATGGACAACGCATGATTGTGTTTATGTAGAGTCCGGCTTGGATTTGACTTGACTTTAGGTGGCCAATTGACAGGTCCAAAACGCGAAATTATCTGCTCACCAAAATGATTTCTCAATAAAGCTATTGTTTCGCGCGCTGTGTGTGCCGTCGTGGCCAGCATTTAAATGAAATTATTGCCAAAAAATAAATGTCAAAGATTGTTCTTTCAGGTCATAATAAAGATTCCTCCATCCAATTCCATTTTATGCGTTTTATTTAGAATTAAAAAAAAAGGTCTATAGACCTTTTTTTTTAATTCTTTAATTTTTATAAATGAATCACCCGTTATATTGATTTACTAAAACCATGACCACAGGTGGTCTGTAGAATTTATAATTAAGTTTTTTTTGACTTTTTAAAATTTTAGAAGGTAAAGATATTTCCTAAATTTAATATTATTTTTTTTTAGTTTTGGTGCATTGGCAAAAAACGAAATAAGGAAAGTTACAAACAAAATTTGTCAAATGACAAACCAAAAACTAATCACCATGGCCTATGCTACTTCGACCAATGCTGTGGTTGCCTATGCTGCGTTATTTCCAGAAGAAGTCGCCCAAAACCATAAAGGATTTATTCTTTATGGAGTCACAGTTAACATATTTCAAACTAGATCCATTCACTTTCCGATATTGGGTGTTATTGCCGACCCTTTTAGAGTAACACAAAGATTGTTTTCCGTATATTTTTTATTTATTTTGTATGTTTTAGGACGCTACTTATTTGCTTGAGATAAAATACTTGGACACTTCGTTTACTCAAAATTGTCAATACGAGCCTTATTTTCCAGCCTGTAATGCTTATATTAACACTGTTTTGGGTGAATCTGACCATATAGATGTAAAGGTAATACAGCACACTTTAATAATATAAAACTTTAAAACAAAACTTTCCATTTAAGCTTTCTTTTCCAAAATTTTTTGGCGAAGGCACCGAGCCAATACCCACAAGTTTAATAGTGAATTTGGCTCAAATAATTCAACACAAAGGAGTCTTTCAAGATTTGGATTATGGAGTGCTTGGAAACTTGCATCATTATAATCAAATAAATGCCCAAGTTTTTGATTTAAACGCTATACGAGATATTAGAATTGACATTTTATGCACAAATGATAATGAGTTTACTTGTGCTGTAAGTAATTTTTAAGGATTTTGATTTTGTAAAATTTAATTTTATTTGTTTTTAGGATGCAAAATCGACATATGATTATTTATCTGTAAACAAAACCTTTACGTATCTACCAAAAAATGAAAAATGTCCTGGAAATTTAATTCATTTTAACTATTTTATGTGTGACGACATGTATAACTGCATAACTGGGCCATTTGACGAAATATTGCAAAAATATTATTAATTTGATTATTTTTTTAAAATAAACTTAAATAAAACTTTTTAATATTGTTTAATTGTAATTTATTTTGCTGGTGTTAAATTATATTCTAAATTTATATATACACTGCCCGTCAAAATTAACACATAATAAGTAAAAAACACCTTTACCAATCTTTATAAAATTTTGGATAAAAATACTTTAACTTATAGCTCAGTTTACGTTTGCAAGGGTTTTTCGAAAAAATATCCTTAAAACCCTTTTATTTAATATTAAAAAATCGCTCGAAAAAAAACTTTTATAGGGAATTTTTTTTAGTAAATTAAAAATATCCGTATACCGTATTTTTGTTAGTATACTCTGAAAATTTTGTACAAATCAAACGAACAGTAACAAAGATACAGCGCTTTAAAGTCGGTAAAAATTACCACGCAGCAAAATAATCAATATAAAAGTTTTTTTCGAGCAATTTTTTAAATATTAAATATAAGGGCTTTAAAAATATTTTCTCGAAAAACCCTCGCACACGTAAACTGAGATATAAGTTGAAGTATTCTTATACAAAATTTCATAAAGATTGGTAAATTTTGTTTTAAAAACCTATAACCTTCAAAAAGCCTAATTTTTTAATAAAAGTAAGGTAATAGGTAAAATCTAATTCTAAATTATGTTTATACCGTATTTTAATTTTTGGTGTACCTAAACAGCTGACGCTTTAACGCTAAATTACGACAATTATTATAGATAACACATTTCAACTCGGTTTTCCTTCCATAAAATTTAAAAAATAAAGGTTAAAAACGTATCCATGTCTAACCGTTTAACAAAATCACGTAATGTATTTACATTATACAAAAATTATACTATATATATATATATATATATATATATATATATATATATATATATATTATATATATAATTTTAATTTTTAAATTAAAAAAAAATAGCTTGTTTTTCTTTTTAATAAAACGACAGATTTGTCTTATATTCAATATATGTTGGAAACAAATCTTGGTCTTTTAGTTTGACGATTATACATTGCTTTAGAATTAAATCTAAAAATCACCACTTGATATACAGGGTGTTTCACATTTTTATATTTGTTATTTCAAATAGAACACCTCATATTTTTTTTCTGAGTAAAATTACTATAGCACGTCCTATATATGTAACACCCGGTATGTTTTTACCTAATCAAATAGTAAATTAAAAAAACTTTCGATTAATTCCTATACCTAAGGTTAATAAATTTCAGAGATATTTAACATGTGACGGGTAAGTTAAAGGTATCTATGTTTATCACGTATTTTTTTATTGTTCAAAATTTAATGGCGTCAATTTTTCAGGTTGTTCACTCTCTAAAAATGAATTAGTCAAAATGACTAATTGCTATAGCGAAAAAGCAGCCACTTATAATTCTCGTCAATAGCAATTTGTATCCCAAACATTTAGCAGTTAATTTCCATGTAAAATTGTCCCCTGAATCCAAAAATGTCGTCAAAAGTTAGAAAACTAGAACGGTTTTTGAGATATAGTCAATTTTCTATATAATATGGACAGTAGCTACTGTAAATTTCACAAATTTAGTCAATGCATAAAATCTTTATTTATAAAAAACGTGTATATAGAAAATTATTCTACGTGGGTATAGCAAATGCAAAATGCAAATTACGCTTGAAGCCTTAAACCATTCTTTCGTTCGGATAAACTATATTTTTAAATTAGGGTTTTATAAACAAAAACAACCTGTATTTTATTCTAATATGGGCTACTTATACATTACAGGTATTTAAACACGCCAGGGAATTACAATCCTAGTACTGCGGTACTCAGATAAGTAAAATAATTATGTTTAACTATTCACAAAATATTATTAAAATGTATGGAATGGAATATGTAAATAATATTGTTTTAGTTAAAATATTACTTTAAATGTAAAATAAATATTCATTAAAAAAAAGATTTAGTAACTTAAGCCACAAACAAAAATGAATATCTATTTTAAAATTTGTTTATCTTATATATTATTATTAAGCACTTTGCAATTGTTAAAAAATCTCACATTTTAAAAACTAGTTTTGCAGCGAATAATGTATTTTAAAGCTATATGTTTCTTTTTATTTTTTATTTTTATACAAAACTCTCTTTGTAAAGATCCAGCTATTCATGGCACTATAGTAAGTAAAAATATTTTATACCCAATGTAGAACAGTTAAATTTATTTTGTTCCAGGATGAAATCGCTGACTATTATGGATACCAAACGCAAAATATTACAGTAAAAACTGAAGATGGTTTTAATCTTATAGTAATAAGAGTAATGTGCAAAGACAATTGCTCAACATCAAGTTTAAATAAACAACCTATGGTGTTATGGCCTGGACTTTTGTTCAATGCAAGATTCTATGTTCTAAATGGAAAAGATTCAATGGGTACTTAAGTAGTAAAACCCGATTGGAAATTTTATAATCTTGAAATTTTTTAGCTTTTCACTTTGTTAATGAGGGATATGATGTCTATTTAGCCAATTATAGAGGAACTATATATTCAAATAACACCAACTTAAGCTCTTCAAATGCTAAATATTGGGACTTTGGGTAAGTTGCTTTTGGGTTTGTAAAAGATCTTATGTATTTTTTTATTTATTCTTTTTATTTATCTTAGTTTTGGTATATTGGCCAAAAACGACATAAGACAAGTTACAAAAACAATTTGTGGACTGACAAAACAAAAATTAATTAGTTTGGGTCATTCTACCACTACAAATGCCTTGGTTGCATATGCTACATTATATCCTCAAGAAGTAGCTCAAAATCATAAAGGATTCATTCTAGATGGCGTTACAGTAAATATATACCAAACCAATACTATTTATTTTCCGATTTTGGGTCTCCTTGCTAACCAATTTAGAGTAAATATATTTTTTATGTAAATGAGTTTGTTTTAAGGACGTTTGTTTTAGGATGTTACCTATTTGCTTAGTTTACGATCTTTGGATACTTCATTTACTAAAATTTGTCAATACAAAATAAGTTTTCTAGCTTGCGAAGCCATTATTAGATTGGTTTATGGTGAATATAATCATATAGATGCAGAAGTAAGAAAATGTTATAAAAGTTTTTTTTATAATAATTTTGTATTTGTATTTAAGGATTCCTTTCCAAGATTTTTTGGCGAAGGCACTGAAGTTATACCCACAAGCATAATGGTAAATTTGGCTCAAATAATTAAACATAAGGGAGTCTTCCAAGATTTGGATTATGGATTACTTGGAAACCTGGTTCACTATAAACAAATAAATGCCCCAGTTTTTGATCTAAACGCCATTAAAGGCATTAGAATTGATATCATATGCACAGACGATAATGAGTACACTTGCACCGTAAGTACTTTTTTGGGGATTTTTGATTTAGTAAAATAACTTTTGTTTTTAGGATGCAAAATCTACTTATGATTACTTATCTGTGAGCAAATCCTACACATATTTACCAAATAACGAAAAATGTCCAGGACATTTAATTCATTATAACTATTTTATATGTGACAATATGTATGATTGCATTACTGGGCCTATAGACCAAATATTGCAAAAATATTATTAATTATATATATTATTATATATTATATTGTCAATAATTTTTGTTTTGTTATTAGAAGTTTAAAAATATCCTATTTATCAAGTTTTTTAAGGGTGCACCAAGTATGCTTCTATGTGTTTACAATGTATACTATACATTTAAGGGTGTACGTTACATCCCAAAATTTTTTTGTTTACATTCTAAATGCAATTTTAAAAATTGTTTAATTCGATGTCGTTTTAATTAAGTTAAAATCTACTTTTGTAATTTCAGAAGAGTTCAGGGCATCTTAAAAAAATAATTTAGCAGTATTCCCATCAATGGATTTTCCAGTTCCTCCTTTTTTAATATCTAAGAATAAGCACAATTCTTGACTGAGTTCATACCATATGCGTCTTTTTTTTGTATTAGTTCTTTGTCATTTTCACTCCTTGCTGACCAAGACTTAAATGACATCATATGCAATATGAACTATACACTCCAAAAAGCAGATCCAAGCGTGTAAACTTGATAATTCATGCTTAAAGGAATCTTTCCTCACATATTTGTCTTTAATTATGCCCGAAAAACGATACAGATTTCGCATTATACCTGTTTTTTTAAGCCAATGTTTTAAACTAACACAAGCGAGAAAAATGTAACAGTCGTTTATTTGTTTGGAAGTTATACCACAATTAATGCAGGCTTGTTATAAAGGGGTACCAGTAAGTATTTGTTCAACTTTTCCATCGAACATCGTAGAAAACATCGTGTACTTAATGGTGAAAGTTTTAAATTTAGTTGGTATTAACTTTCATTTCTTTATGAATTTGTTCAACCTGTCTTTTAATTACATCTGCAGATTCTTGTATGTATTCGAATTTTATGAGCCTGTAGAAGAAGGTTGAGAATTTCCTCATATTTTTTAATCATGTTCATCCTTTAGTAAGACTGACACCATTGAACTCATAAAAATATTGGAATCGTTTGCAGTGGAGGAGCTTGAGAATTTTTGCTTATATTCTTCCTGTCCGGATAATCCATCACAACCCCATTTAACTATTAATTTCATATTTATTGGCTTGCCTTTGTCACAATGTTCTATAGATAGAAGCAAACGTTTTGAAGTGTGGTCTTAAAGTGACGGTAGACTAATTCCAAAACCCATTTTGGTCGAAGCTATATCTCCAAGATAATATTCACTCTTGGATTTAAGGATATGTTCATACGCTGGAAATAAATTGAAGGAGTAAGAAGCAAAACGGTACAGGTGCATTTTAGCATGAAAATAAGTTCAGAATTGGGTAATTTTTTTTTCAATTTTCTCATAACCTAAAAAATGTAAGAAAAATGCATGTTGATTAATGCAAACATTGTAACAAGAATCCAGATTTTTGTATATAGCAAAAATTTTAGTTAATAACTTCACTTCTCTTTTTTGCAATTTTAAACAATTTTAAGTCGATAAATATTTTAGTAAATTTTAGACAAATTTTATTTGAAGGGTTACAAACCTTATAGAACAAGGTTGGTTATATCAGAGAAAAGTTACTTAATTACAAGCCTAATAAAATAAAACTAAAAACCTGTTTAAACCAAAAATCGTTATAACCTCGTTATTTCTGTATTTTAAGTTTTACATATGAACTTACACATTTATCTCCATTTTCTTTCGTATTTTGAGTTACTATCACCATCTTTTGTTTTATAATGGCCGCCATAAATTAGGTAGTAATTTTAATACATCATTTGATACCTTTTATTTTTTTTATTTAACTAATATTTCAATATGGCGGTCATAGGAAAAGCAAAATATGGTGGTGATAACTTAAAATCTAGTAGCCAAAAAAATCACAAATTCAATCAAAATGTAGATAAATGTCTATGTTTGTTGTGACACTTACTTTTTTAGATTTTCCAGGAATAACGAAGTTATAACGATTTTTGGTTACGACACAATTCCTTAGATTATATTGTCCATTGTAATTTACAATTTGTAAATCATACAAAAAATTATTAAAAAATGTTGGAAAAGTATGCTTTAGAGTGAGTAGAATATCCGCTTTTATCGAAATTAATTTTGTAATGTGAAAATAAATCATTTACTTACAAAAGAAAAAAAAATCTGTCAACTAATAATTCTATCAACTTACATTAAAATTATCAAGTGTGCGATATTTTGTTAGGTTCGAAATATGTTATATTTTAGGTTATGTACATGAATTTATTCTACAGTGCCCTGTAATTTTATATTTTCTTTGTTGATTTCATGCTAAATTCGATAGTTGGAACCACACCTATTATTTCAATGTATTTTCATTATTGTACGGCGGTGTATAATAATTTGACTTTTGAACTGCTTACAAAAATGATTTTTTTCTATATAGGCTTATTAGTGTTATAATATAACCATTTTTTTTTATATTTTTTTACCAAATTATTAAAATTACTTAAAAATTATGGCATAAATATTGTCATTTAAAAGTTAATTTGGATTTTTTTAGATTAATAGATTTTAAAGAGACTAAAACTTTCAACATTAATTCCCGACTAAAACTTAAACGCACAGACCATAAATCTGCAAGTAAAAATCCCTTGTTAAATCAATAGGAAAATTATTGATTGTTGCAGGAATGTAATGTCAGTTATTACTGCAGCTGTAAATAGGACCGCGCTTCCTGCCAAGAAACAAAAGAAGAAAAATGGGAGTAGTGGAAGACGACGACAGGCAGGCAGGCGAGCAGGCTAATGCCGCATTGACGCGGAGGCGGCGAATGGGGGCGAGCCGTAAAGACTGTAAATGAGTGACATTAGCGCACGCAAGAATACGACGTTGCGATCTGGCGCCTTGGACACCGGGATGCACAGTGCCAACCTTAAGATTTTTACAAAATTTATATTTACGCTTAAATTTGTGCTTAAATTTTATAAATCAGTCCAGTTCTGTTATTTTAAATTTATAATGGACATTTTAACCTCTAGAAAATTTTTAGATTATTGTTTTTTGTAAATTTATATTTTACGAAAACGAAAAAATTAAGTTATTTTATTAGCATTTACCTTAAGACAGATTTTAGAAAAACATTTAGGTACCTATATAAAACTAAAGTCATTACAAAAAAAATAATTTTATTCAGGAACCTGAAAAATATTCAAGTAAATGAAATAAATGAGTACACTAGATGCAAAACTCGGTTTTTGCACATTTAAAAAAAATATATATTTTATCTTATTTATGTTCATAACTGCACTGCTCACAGCATAACTAAGTAAACCAGATGCATAAGTTAATATTTGTAGAATAAAATACATTTATAAACTTACCGCAGCTGCAAAACTGGGTATTTGTCGGATGCAAAACTCGGTATTTGACCAATTACCAATCACGTCGCTAGTATACGCATTAACTGACGGCATAACAATCACCTGATTAATTGTTATTTTTTTGGTATTTGCACTTTTCACTTGCAAAACTTGGTCTTTGAACGAGGAAGATGCAAAACTATGTTTTTAAATCTTTTGATTTCAATTATTTACTAAACTACTTAATTTTAAAGGACTTTTTTTTACTTTTTTGAATAAGAAATGATGCAAAAGCACGTCTATACGATTTTTGTATTTTTTTTTTCAAATATGACCTTATGAGCGGTTTTTCGTGTTTTTCTTAAAATCACTTATCCTGCAAATACAGAGTTGTGCATCTAATGTACTCAAATAATAATAATAGAGTGGTTAGGCAAATTTAAGTTTTTACATCCTTTTTTTCTTAGTTACTTATACTAATGTTTATTAGTATTAGTAATAAATGGAGAAGATTACAATCAAAATGGAAATTAAATAAAGGTGTACTCAGGGGCTTGTGATATCTTATTTGAAAGGTATTTCGATTCTCTACGCTTTTTATTTATATTATAACATTAAATCACGACTTTTTCAATACTATAGTTTTGACCTTAAACTTTTTAGTTAGGTACGGACATGGAAATAAGTACCTGGGAGACCAAGCTCCGCTCGGGGCCTTTTGAGTTTGCTGTGAGCACATTTTTTTGGAAAATGTCCGCGATATTGTATCAGCCATGTTGTTTTTGAAAAAATGGATTACATTTGCAATCAGCGACCTTAAAAACCACATATTTCCAAATTTGAGCGATATCAGATTTTTTTGGATCTGCCATTTTATTTTTAGATACAATTCGTGAAAAGTGACCCAAAAAATATCCAAATAAAAACCACCCAAATCGCTTTAGTCGTTCCTAAAAACCAATTATTGATTTTAAGGAGATCTGCAAATACCCCCCTACTAAACATTCCAATTTAAATCTAGCAGAAAGCAGAAATGTATCTGATTTATAGTGCCGAACGCTTGGCGTAGAATGCCGAAAAATAAAAAGACGGGCACTCCTGTTTTTAGGTGGGAAAAGAAAGGGGAAGGGAAGAACGGAGATCATTCGAGAGAAACCCGTGCAACCAACAACAGGTGTAAATTTGATAAATTTAAAAGTGTTTAAATTTGTAGGTTTGTATATTTTAATAACTAAATTATTGTAGTTTAAATATTCCTGAACAATTTGGTATAATTAGTTTACACAAATGCCTTATGTAAAGATAAATATTCGATCAATTGACTGGGAGTCATCGATCTATCTATATATCCGTTTAATAAACCACGCTTATAATCGAAATGATATAAATTTACTTTTGAACAATCTCGCATTACGTTAGATTCTAAATAATAAACATTTTGTACTTGATTTGATTTAATTAAACGTGCAGGGCTGTACTTGATTTTATCTAATTAAAAGGTCGGGGTTGTACTGGATTTTATCTAGCTGAATGTCAGAGTTGTACTTGATTTTATTTATTCATTTTAATAAATATTTCTTAAAAGGGATTTACCATAAACGATGCGTAAATTAAGTGTACTGGATATCGATTTTCTTGAATACGGGATTTATTAAATTGTACTCGCAGTTTCACATTTATGTCCCGTAATTAGTTAAGAAATGTTTACCAGTCATATTAAATTATTTGGTATTACATTTGGAGTAAGTAGCAACGGTGATTGTGCGATATCGACATTTTATTTATACCACTGTCCGTGGTGTCCTGAAATAAAAGCCCATTTTGAATTACTTTCCTGTAAATTTTAAGATGGGCGTAAAGGTCTGGATTCATATGAATGCACAACGCAGACATTGCCTTTTGTTATTTGGTTAAATTGTTACCCAGTATTTTATGGTAATTATTAAGTTATAAAAGTTTGCCGACAAATGAGGCATAATGGGCAATTGCGGACCCTCAATTGGAATGACCTCGAAGCGAAGATTATTATTTACTCCTTATTCTAACAGTTGATTGAGCATAAACTCTAATAAATAATACATGAATAATCATGAAACAGTAAACTCAAATTCAACATTAAATATTTATAAAAAAGTTATTTGGAGGACGGATACCTAATACGGATAAAGTTACATTTAAAATACAAAAATAGAGACTAAGACTTAATCTACTTTCATCCAACAAACAATCAAATAAATAAACATACTAAAAATTAAAACGAGGAACACATACGACAGCTGAGCTCGAGTAGTATTTATCTAATGGTAGTTTTATGTTTATTTATTTATATTATATGTGGGTTGTGGTCGCTGTAAGGAGATTTTGTGTGGTTTTAATGGTTTCTAAGATGTCCTTTTCTTTCAGAGTTTTCTTTCAGAAAATAAGTTAAATGTCGTTTGGGTTACGGTTATTGTTGTTGCTTTATCCAAATAAATATCATTATTGTTAGTTATAAATTTTAGATGTTTTTTTTAATGTTTTATACGTTTACCTCTCTCCCATTATCCCTCATTTTGGAAGTTTTTATGAGAGATAATTATATAAAAATAAACGGGAGCCCTCCAGATCTTGCACCCGAGTTAAAACGTGATTTATTGTCTTTTATTTACTGTATTTAGTATTTCCCTTTTAATACTTTCCCCATGAATACAAGACCTCAAAAGTATTTCGGGTTACTAAATTTAATGAGCTTTATTACCGTAAGTTTTTATTTGTCGTATTTTAATATAACATTTGCCGTGGTGTTATTTTTCATTTTATCACTTGTACGCTTTGTACGCTAACAATTTGTACAAGAATTCACACTTTCGATCGGGTGGGGTGTGTCAGTACATAATGCCATATTATGGCAAACATCCGAATTTTCGAAAGTAAATTTTATATAGTACCAGTTTTTACTTTTAATATGCTTGAAAAATGCTGTTACCGAAGATAAGATTGTGTAAGTCTAACCTAATTGTCCTGACAGTCAATGAATTAAAACCCAATAAGTGCCCTATCTAAAAATACACTAACTCCTTAAAAGGAATATTGAGTCTGAAAGCACAATGACGAAGAAACTTGTTCTGGACTCTCTCAATCAAGTTACTATGGCATGCGTAATATATTATTCATATGACACAACAATATTTAACCACAAATGACAAATAGTATATTGTGTATCAAGTTTTATAAACGCTATTTTAGTTACGAATTTTATTAAGCACGAGCGAAGCTTGCAAGCGAGTGTTTAATAAAAACGAGTGTCTATATAAGTTTATAAAACGAGTTGCATACTATACTTTATCTACGACGACCGCAAAGAAGAATTTAAATCCAATTTTATTTGTTAAACATTTGACATCTGTCAAATGTCAACGGAATTAACCTCACTTTTCTCTAATTTATATTAAAGCTAACTTCAGCCCGTGACTAAAATGCCCAAAAGCCACTATTGCTAACTTCAGCCCGTGACAAGAACGCCATAAAGTCACAGCTAGTCAATGTAGGAGCAGATAAACATATTTTATACGGGTAACATTGATTTCTTTCATATTTCGTCCTATGAAACCTAATGTATTTAGGGCCCTGTTTGCACTAAAATTTATATGCTGATTAAAAGATACTTTTAAATTAAAATTTACAATCAAGTCCTTAATAAGCAACACATTATCAAGGATATTATTTTTTAAACTACACTTCTCCAAGAAATTAAGGCACCACCAAAAAATGTGCCTTGGAGAGTCACATTCAGATGGATGCCATCTTTACAGATTTCTCCAAGGCATTTGACAAGGTTGAACATCAACTTTACCTGGCAAAACTAAAATCTTTGGGTTTGGGTGGTAAACTTCACACCTGGTTAAAAAGTTATTTAAACTCTAGAGCCTAAAGACTTATTTAAAATAATCAGTTTAAATCTAAGGTTATTTCTGTCACATCTGGAGTTTCCCAGGGTGGAGATCTCTCTCCTTTACTTTTTAATTGTTTTATAAACTATATACTTTTTAAATTTAGTAACTGCCTCTTATTCGCTGATGATTTAAAACTATACAACGAAGTAAAATCAATGACTGTTAGTTCAAGATGATTTGCACAGCTTGAAAAGATGGTGTGATATTAACTATATGGAACTAAATATAGCTAAATGCAAAGTTATCAACTTTCGTAGATCTAAAAAATGTATTAAATTTTCATATATTTCCATATGTAGTTTAAAAAATGATATCCTTGATAATGTGTTGCTTATTAAGGACTTGGTTGTGAATTTTAATTTAAAAGTATCTTTTAATCAGCACATAAATATTACTGCCAACAGGGCCCTAAAAACTTTAGGTTTCATAGGCAGAAATACGAAAGAATTCAATGTTACCTATTAAAATATGTTTATGTGTCATATGTAGTTAAATATTGTTGTGTCATATGAAT